ATTATGTCAATGTTTTATTGTACATGTTGGAAAATATAGACTTTTAAATATTTAATTTCATTGAGTTTTATTATCTTAAATTTATTGTGAGAAATTTTGATCTTAGCAATGGATTGACCAATGTCTGATTTCTTATTGAATCCTGATATGCATAGAATACTAAATATTAGACAAAAACTCTAGTTTGGAAAACTTTTGTTTAAAATATGTTTAATGAACTAGGAGTCAACACACAATTCCTTATCCTGGCTCTGCTTTTACCTCAGTCTATGATTCTGGGAATTAACTTCACTCTTGGGCCTTCATTTCTTTATCTGTAGGATGGTGATTGGACTAATTGATGTCCAATATCTCTGCTAGCTCTAAAATTATATTATAAAATAAATATTCATTATATTTATATTTTAAAATTAATTTTTGAACCAAAGTATTAGTTCTTTAAACTGTCTCTAGCAAATATAGATAGATATAGATATATAGGTGATATAGATATATATAGATTGTAGATATACTAATACAATTGTAAAATTTATATGAATCATATTTGCTGACAACTTTTTTACCTAACCCATTATATTATTTTTAGTTTACATGTATATTTACTGCTGTTTTAAAAAATCTGCATTTTAGAGCAGTATTAATTAACCCTTGAAAATCTTTTTTTAAATTTTATACTCAGTGGCACACTCTCCAAGTCAGACTCATTGTAATCAATGTAACAGCATGAAGCAAACATTAGAGTTTCTGCACTGGATGAGTACTGTATACCCTAGGGCAGTCAAGAGAGGATAATGAATGAATACTGATGCTGTTCTAAATGCTCAGTAAGGTAGTTACTTGCCCTACTAAAGATTATTCAAGAGAGTGATGTTTATGTACTTCAGAGTCTCCTATGTGCAGTTACTATATTTCATTAATTCTAAGAGTTAAGCTCTTCTCTATAAAACTTTAAATGCTCTTCAATCTTGTTTTCTACCTAAGGACTTATAAAAATACATGATTTTACCAAGTTTTACATCTCAACAGCTACTTATATTTATATCCAGAAATGAAAGCCGTAATCTAACACTAGACTGGGCACTGTTTATTGTATTTTGATATCTAATATTCTGTTGTTAAAAGATATAATTATGCAGCGTGACCACCTCCCCAGATTCTCCTCCTTTGTTATGTTTATATAACCCACACTTTTAAACTCCTATCTTTCTACTTTTAATTCTTCTTTGAGCCAAAACCGGTTTGGCTTAGTGGATAGAGCGTTGGCCTGCGGAACGGTCCCAGGTTCGATTCCGGTCAAGGGCATTTACCTTGGTTGTGGGCACATCCCCAGTAGGGGGTGTGCAAGAAGCAGCTGATGATGTTTCTCTCACATCGATGTTTCTAACTCTCTATCCTTCTTCCTTCCTCTCTGTAAAAAATCAATAAAATATATATATTTTTTAAATTCTTCTTTGACCATTTAGCCTAAGCATTCCTACTGATTATAGCCAATACTCCTTTGGACACTTATTGATTTTAGTTTTAATACATCCACTTCCACATTATCCCAAGTTTCTGTATCTTAGTGACTAATGTGGTTTCTGCTTGTTTAAGAATGAAGAAAATTAAGGGATGAACTAAGAATTTTACGTTATCTGAATTCTGAAAGATGTAGTGTATTTACATAATAAAATATGTCTGATGCTAAACCAGTGCTAAAGATGACTCCTAAGTTCATTTTTTCTAAGTACATTGTGAAAATACAAAAGTTTAGGAATTCTCCTGGCTCTTTGGCATCACCACTCACACATTTATGCTAAGAAAATAGAGGCTATTTTTAAGAAATAAGGAAGCAGACATTAGAGAAATCCTTTTATTAGTAAGGTACTTTTACGTGTTATACTTAATCTTTACCTTAACCCTACAAGGAAGTTACCATTATTCATTCCCAGTTTTACAGATAAGGAAATTGAGACTAGAAGATTAAAGGATTTGTTCAGAGTCACAGCTAGTTTGAGGCAGAATTAAATTCTGAAAATTGTCTTCTAGCTTTATAACATATGTATACAAATATGTCTATAGCATACAGTATGTATAGTAACCAGTGAAGATACTGTGACTTTACATATTGTAGTGCTCTTAGCAGTTCATAAAGTACTCTGTCAGAAAGGAAGGGAGAAACTATAGTGTGGCTTTAGCAGTTGCAATATCAGACTTGGCAATTCTAATATTTTGTGGTTGTTTTTTGAAGCAGTAAGCCATCCAACCTCATATATATATTTTATTGATGAAGCATCAATGATAAAAGAGAATCATTGAGTGGATGCCTCCTGCACACCCCACACTGGGAATTGAGCCCACAATCTGGGCATGTTCCCTGATCAGGAATTGAACCATGACTGTTCATAGGTTGACGTTCAGCCACTGAGCCACACCAATTGGGCCAGCCTCAGATTTTACTTCTTGATCATTCCTTGTGTGTTTGTTGTTTGTTTGTTTGTTTGTTTGAAGACAAATTCAGGATTTGAACTAGCTTAATGGCTGTGTGATTTTGGGCAAATGATCAGGTTTCTCAATCTGTCCTATTAGAAACTCATTGGAGCTGAAACTGGTTTGGCTTAGTGGATAGAGGGTTAGCCTCTGGACTGAAGGGTCCCGGGTTCAATTCTGGTCAAGGGCATGTACATTGGTTGTGGGCACTTCCCCAGTAGGGGCTGTGCAAGAGGCAGCTGATCGATGACTCTCTCAGTGATGTTTCTATCTCTTCCTCTCTGTAAAAAATCAATAAAATATATATTTTAAAAAATAAAATCAATAAGTATATAAAAAAAGAAACTCATTGGACACAACATGAATGGATCTCAAGTACATTATGCTAAAGGAAAGCTGGATTCAATTCGATTTACATGGTAGTCTGAGAAAGTTTTGGGGATCAGAAAACAGATTAGTGGTTCAGAGGCTGGGTGTGTGAGGGGAGAATGACAGGAAAGAAGTATGAGGGAAGTTTGGGAGATAATAGAATTGTACTATATTCTGACTATAGAGGGTGTTTGTTAAAACTTAAAACTGAACATCAAAATGAGTTCATTTTATTGTAAGTAACATATTCCTCAGTAAAACTTTTTTTTAACCTGCCGACTTTGTTCTTTAAATCATACTCAGAATCCACAATGATTAGTAGTAAAGAAAAAAATGTCCACTAACCAGTTGTCCAGGTGTAATTATTGGCTAGTGGAAATTTTCTTAATCTTTTCATATATGCTTCAGGTTTTAAGGGATCTGGATCATTTATAGAAGGTAAGATATGCATATATGAAAATAAAGAAACTTCAAATTTTTGAATAGTTGTCAAATTTTCTAAATTGTTCTTAATTGGCATGAATAAAATTATTACTAGAATAATTTATTTGGGAGCCTTTTTCAAAAGTTCTTCACCCTTACTCACCCCTTTCTGCTATATCTAGGGAAGTAAGAGAGAAAGATTAGCAAGAATCTGTTTTAGCATGTAACATCCAAACAGTTACTTCTAAGAAGTTTGAGAAGCACTGGATAAATTGCAACACACTTCTCATATCGATATCTGTAGCCTCTCTTCTAAAATTTGCACCTGAGTATGGATCTTAGGAAAATGTAATAAATACATTTCTCCATCAAATGTTGTAAGAAAACTTTATTTTGGATTCGAGGACTATATCTGTTATTAAGAATATTATCAGCAATAATAGTTACAGGTCTCCCATGTTCCTGAGTCTCTTTTATCGCTAAGGTATATAATTTAATTATATTATGCTAATTATTTCAAATTTACAGATCATAACAATAAAACTACCCAAAAAAATTATGTCCTTCTCACCAAAGAAACCAATTTCTGTTTATTAGCAAATGTGTTTTTCACCTATGATGCATATCAGTAATGTACCAGCTGCTAAAAGGAATGCAAATAAATATAAGGCAACCTCTGCTTTTAAAATGCTTGGGGAGATAATATATTCACATGTGACACATTTTTGCTGATAGGATAATAAACTTGATTCAAATTGTGTCTTTATAAAGAGGTAGCCATAAATGTCTAGGGCCTCATTCTAACACTAGATCTGCCCCACTCTGATAGTGGGTCAGGTATAGTCCAGTTAACTAGTGGAAGAGATAAACTCAGAAGTAGATCTGTTTACTGGAGACTGGGAAGACCTAAAGGAGGCAAAGCCAGCTGTAGGTTCTCAGAGGAGGTTTATCATGACAGATAATGTACTGGCTTAAAAAAAAAAAAAAAAATGCAACATCAAGTCATTGTCGAAGTAAGCACTGACAATAGACTTGCTTGCCGAGATCATATGGCCCATATCTGGAAAAGAAAAGATTTTGGTCTAAAAATCTAAGAACCTGAGAATATTGGGATATGGGATATAGTAATGGGGTGGGGGAAATAGGTGAAAGTGTACGTAATTAACTTCTGTTATTTATTTGTTTTTTAAATATATTTTATTGATTTTCCACAAAGAGGAAGAGAGAGGTATAGAGAGCTAGAAACGTTGCTGAGAGAGAAACATCGACCAGCTGCCTCCTGCACACCCACCACTGGGGATATGCCCGCAACCAATGTACATGCCCTTGACCGGAATCAAACCTGGGACCTTTCAGTCCGCAGACCGACGCTCTATCCACTGAGCCAAACCGGTCTCGGCCTATTGTTTATTTTAGTTGAACGGTTATTTTCAGTCAGCAGTGTTTTAAATTTTCACTCTTTCTCAAAATTGATTAGGAACAAGAAAGTTCAGAATTGTCTAGTAGTACTACACAAAAAGACTCAGGGAAGCTTTCCAAAGGTCCTTTTGTTTATCTTATTGATATTTATAATGATCTTAGGAATATAATGAATTATGATAAATCAAAGCTAATTTTGAAGTTGAATGAATTTATGCTTTCCTTTATAAATTTCTCTTTTGTTTAACCAAAGAGTATTTCAAGAGTTGGATTTGGGTGGGAAGTAGAGAATTTTTTAAAAATTTGTGTTTGCATTTCAGAGATTAAAAGCTGCTTTGACTCAGCAACATCCTCCTGTGACCAATGGCGATACTGTAAAGGGTCACAGTAGCGGATTGGTTAGGACTCAATCAGAGGAATCTCGACCACAGTCATTACAACAGCCAGCCACATCCACTACAGAAACTCCGGTAGGTGTGTGGTTTTTATCTTGCAGCACTCTTATTATCCTTAAAAAGGCAAAGTTTTAATTAACAACTTTACTCAACTTAAATGACTGTATGCTTTGAAAAAAAATATTTCTGGTTATGTTGTTATTCCAAAAATATATGAGAAGTCTTAGATAAAGGTAGTTCAAATATTAAAGTCAGTCCAGTCCATCAGTCCATCGAGCAGTTATTACTGCATAGAAAACCCTATATGTATGTAGGTCTGATATGGCACAATATCCATCAATACTTTTAAGGAAACATATTTTCTGTTGATTCTATTCAAGTAATGTATATATATGTATTACATTGCTCACCTAGATGAAACAATTATTTAAAATTTGGGAAACATCATGAAAGGAAAAGATATGCCATATAGCAGTCGTTTGTATTAGAGGCCCTTTTTACTCCTTTCTAGATCTGGACTGCGTGTTAGGTGATTGATATTTCTGTATGTCTGCAGTATATTTCTTTTTTTTTTTTTTTTTTAATCAATCTTTATTGTTCATATTATTACAAAGGTTCCTCATTCCCCCCTCCACCAGGTTCCCACCCCACTCTCCGCCCCCTCCCCATCCCCCATTGTCCTCATCCATAGGTGCAGTTTATGTTCAGTCTCTTCTTCCCTCCCTTTCCCCAATAGTAAATCCCTTTTCAGATAGTAAATCAGTTACTTAGCATTTTCTCAAATCAATAATACCTCCACATGCCCAATGATACACTTCACACAAAAGACATTTCCCAATAGGTCCACCAGCCTCATCCAGGCCCCACCCAAGGCACTCACAGATCAACACCCCAGCCCTAAACTAACTCAACACATCCAGATCTAAGCCTTCATCACTTGATTCAGCAGACCCTCAAGTTCCCACGAAAGTTTCCAGCCATGTCTGAGAAGCAGCCGTGGGGCAGGGGTAGGCAAGGAGCGAGCTGTTCCGGGCCTGGCTGCTCAGGGCCTGGCCTATGTTGCTCTGGTTCATTCCACAACCAGCTGCTCCGGGTCTGGTCACTGCCACTCCCGACCTAGTTGCTCTGGACTTGCTGCTGCTGCTCCGGGCCTGGCCGCTCCCAGCCTGGCAGCCGCTGCTCCGGGCCTGGCCGCACCCAACCCGCCTGCTCCTCCGGGCCTGGCCGCTCCCAGCCTGGCAGCCGCTGCTCCGGGCCTGGCCGCACCCGACCCACCTGTCTGCAGTATATTTCTATAGTGTAAAGGGTTGCTGTATTTCTGTTAAATGTTTCAAAACTCAAGAAGAGCTTTTATCTTCTCTACTTAAAGAATGTTAGCATTAGCATTAAAAAGCAGAACTTACTTTCCATTTAAAGAAACACGGGTAAACAGCAAGTTTTAGAATGCCTCCTAAGTGTAGGTGTTTAGATAATTACATTTTATCTTTATGAAACTTACAACAAAGTGGAATGTAATTGTGGTTGTCATCCACTAAACAACTTTACTAAATGTGCGAGAGAGGGAAAGTAAATAAGTGTGTTTTAATGTCATAATTCAGGGGTAAGCAAGCTGGCCCAAAGGCCAAATGAAACCCAGCGCTATTTTTTTTGTATGGTCTGCAAGCTAATTATGGTTTTTACATCTTTAAAAGTTTATTTAAAAGAAATGAATATATTATTTTCTTATACTACCTATAGTTTCAATGAATCTAACTTTTTATATCTTTACATTTTATTACGTTAGATTAAAGCTCCACTGCTATATCTCTAGTTTCTAGAATAGTTTAATATATTTTTTTAATGAAGTGGAATGAATGAATCAATGAAAGAAGGGAGAGAAAAAGGTACATATTCTTCTAATTAGCCTCAAGTTCTTGTTACGTGTAAAAATATAACAAATGTAAATGATAGCTTTCACATATCATAATCGGATTTAGCCTTTGCTGTAATAATTGAATTGTCAATTAAAAAAAAAAAAAAAAACTGGCTGAAACCGGTTTGGCTCAGTGGATAGAGCGTCGGCCTGCGGACTGAAAGGTCCTGGGTTCGATTCCAGTCAAGAGCATTTACCTTGGTTGTGGGCACATCCCCAGTAGGGGATGTGCAAGAGGCAGCTGATCAATGTCTCTCTCATCAATGTTTCTAACTCTCCCTCTCTCTTCCTCTCTATAAAAAATCAATAAAATATATTTTTTTTAAAACTTTTTTCTTATTTAGTCAAATGAGTAAAAAAAGAGTAAAAAAAAAAACAAAACAAAAAAAACCCTGCTATAAGTTACAAGGGTGAAGTAAAGAAAATATTTCAAGGTTGCCTTTCTTGAAGCCAGCCATAGAAATATTTTTATAAAAGATTAACTTGGAATCATGTACATAAAATAAATAATCTAATACTTGATCTTTATTATAATTAAAATACAGTATAAATGGAATAACCCTTATAATTTTCAATGCTAGTTATTTGGAAAAGGAATTAAATTATACCATTGTATTTTTTGGAGTTCATAGGATGAGAAGTAGTTTGTTGGTTTTCTTGCAAAACTTATCTTGATCTTATATATAAAATTTTTGCTTATTATATAGTAAGAAAATTGAAGTTTTATTTGTTTACACAGTATTAAAATATAATTAATTGTAGGTAAAGATTGTTTTCAGACTTCTTTGGATCATGGGCCTATGGCCACAAAGTGGCTGTTTGCTCTGCACTATTTCCAAGAGTTCATTTTCTATTTTCATATTCAAGTGTTCTGTGGTACAATTTTGGGATTTGTAAGAGGGTTGGAGTTATTTATTGCTCTATAGTGCTAGACACTAGACAATATCATTAGCAAGTGAAGTTTTCTGTCTCTCACTGATCTGATATAACCATGCCAATCCATTGAGGAGTCGGGGAATAAATTAAAATGAAAATCTGGACTCCTATGGGATACTGCCCATCAGGAAAATAAGCAGTAGTGAACCTGACCCTTAGAAAAAGATTTCCCCTAAACTCCAAAAACTGAAGAAAAGCTGAGTAGAGTCCTATGCCACTAACAATGTTTTAGTGATGGACTGCATATATGGTGGTGGATCTATAAGATCACAGTATATGCTTACAGCAAACCTATGATGGAAAAAGGGGGGGGGGGGGACAAGGAAACTATCATAGACATATTTCTGAAAAGAGTGACACCTCCTCAAGAAGAGCCTCAGGTACGTCCTTCAGGAGGCATTTTTGTCATAAGAGATGACAACTCCACGGGTGTTATTGCCCTTGAAGACCTTCCAGTGGGACAAGATGTGGAAGTAGATGGCAGTGAGGTGGTGTACAAGTCTACAGTAGTGTACCATAGTGTCCTAGGCCTTCACATCCACTCACCAGTCACTCACTGACACACCCTCAGCAACTTCCAGTCCTGCAAGCTCCATTTATGGTAAATGCCCAATACAGGTGTGCCATTTTTTTATTCTCTATTTTTATTGTATCTTTTCTATGTTCAGATACACAAATGCCATGTGTTAAAATTGTCTATTGTATTCAGTATAGTAACATGCTGTCCAGTCTTGTAGCCTAGGAGCAATAAGCTATATCATGTGGCCTAGGTATGTAGTAGTCTGTACCATCTAAGTTTGAGTAAGTACACTCTGTGATGTTCCCACAAGTAAATTGCCTAACAATGCATTTCTCAGACTGCATCCCCGGCACTGAGAGTCACCGGACTGTATACCAAAGTAGGTACTTTGATGCCTTAATTTTAGAGAAACCAGTTTTTAAAAAATATATTTTTGTTGATTTCAGAAAGGAAAAGAGAAGGGGAGAGAGGTAGAAACATCAATGATGAGAAAGAATCATTGATCAGCTGCCTCCTGCAATCCACAGCCTTACTGGGGATCGAGCCCGCAACCTGGACCTGTGCCCTTGACCGGAATCGAATTCATGAGACTTCAGTCCACAGGCCAACCCTCTGTCCACTGAGACAAGCCGGCTAGGACATAGAGAAACCAATTTACAGATTTAATGTAAATGTGGTTTCCCATTTAAATTTAAATAAGCAATATTAAATCTTTACTTTAGTACCTTATAATTAGTTTTCAAAGGATTGAATAACACCTTAATGTACTTTTAAGAGTATACTTGGGAAAATGTAAGATTTTTATATGATCATTTGCATTGCATTTTCAGTTTCTTCATATTCTATATAAATGAAAATATTATAGAAACTTTAAAGACTTTATTTAATGTATAGTGACTTAGTGAGAATCTTATTTTAGCAGAGCTCATTTATTTCAAGGAATTTGTTAAACCACTGGGTGATCTTCACATTGTCCCAAAATATTGATATATACAATGAGACTTAGAAAATAAAGTTAGTAGCTCTCCCCTTTTGCCACCCTTTATTGTCTGTGTTAAAAAGCTTTCCTTTCTGTTTATTACAGGCTTCTCCAGCTCACACAGCTCCACAGACCCAAAATACAAGTGGTCGACGAAGAAGAGCTGCTAATGAAGATCCTGATGAGAAAAGGAGGAAATTTCTGGAACGAAATAGAGCAGCAGCTTCAAGATGCCGACAAAAAAGGAAAGTCTGGGTTCAGTCTTTAGAGAAGAAGGCCGAAGATTTGAGTTCATTAAATGGACAACTACAGGTAGGGTGCATATGTATAAATTTTATTTTATATATTTTAATAATTGTGACCACAGCTCTTCCCTTTTTTCTACTTAACCATCTAAATATTGTAGGACCCAATATTGGGTGTGTGTACGTAAAACTTAATTTTATAAACTTATTTGGATACTGAGATAAAATAATGTAAAACTTTCAATTTAAAATAAGTGTTTGTGAAGTAATTTAAAATAAGTGTTTGTGTAGTGCAAAAGTACTTAAACTTTATAAAGTTGTGATATAAAGTTCAAAGAATTTTAAAATTAAAAATATCACTGGTATTTCACTTTTCATGTTCAATTGATGGTTTAGATCACAGTGATAAAGTTGCTTTAGTAGCAGTTTTGATTTTAAGTCCTTTTGTTCTTTGAATTATAAATTTTGTTTTGTTTTGTTTGTTTTATTTAAAGTGAATATAATGCTCAAGAAAGGTGCCAGATTGACAGCTTTGGAAACTGAAGGACTCTTATTATCCACAGAACAGGTACAATATGGCCAGTGGCAATAGAAATCATTTTATGCTGCCCTGCCAATGTGCCTCAGATACATTTCTTAGGAACTTCGTGGGTATAAAGGTTTAAGGCTCCTTCCTATTCAGTCTTTGGTAAGATTTCCAATGGGAGAGCACCAAATCTATTTTCTTCCTTCTGCTTTTTGTTTTGTTTTTCTTTTTTTCTTAATGTTGTGAACATTATCCAATAAAATATTCTAAATTACCCATCAATGAGCATCAGCTAGAAAATTGATGTTAATGAATTGTAGTTATTGATCAGTTTTCTGAGTTAATTTATTCCCAGTTAAAAATAAATATTTCTATGAAATTATAATTGATGATGAGAGCTCTCTTCTTAAACTTTTCTATCTTTAAAGATATCATTAATATAAATGTCTATTTAAATGCTTGGGGGAAAGTTTTTAGCATCAGGAATAGCATTTAACATGTAATATAAATTTTATAACCTAAAAATTTTTCATATGTGTGGTAGACATTTTTTAATACTGTGTTGTGCTTTGTGCTTTGAATATTGGCATGTTAGTTTAGAACAAATGGTCTTATAAAATCTATTTTAACCATTTAGAAAAAATTTAAAAATGATTTACCACATCACAGAGACTTTAAATATATACTTATATACCAAGGTATACTAAGAAATTATTACATTATCATCTGATAAATGAATTCTTAAGAACTATTTTCATAAGTTTTTAGGAAAAAAATGTATAATTTTTTTTCCTCTTAAATTCAGTGAAACATTATAGGTACCAATTTATTTATACAACTATTAAAAAAGTCTATTCTTTGACAGGTTTGTTACAATATTAACTTTTTAAAAACTATTTTAAGTAATTTAAAAACTAATTTTACTATTAAAATTTTAAATATTTATATTAAAGTGACTTAACTAGACTACTTATAGTTATATGACATTAAACATATAATTCTTTGTTAGCCTCAGTTGTCTTATCCAGAGAATAGAGATAATACCTGCTGGTCTATTTCTCTGGTTTGGCGCATAAATTAATTGAATCAGAATGAATGTAGGTATTTTTAAATACATAAATTTTTAATTTTAATAAGATAAATGTATTAATATTTTCCTTTGTCATTTGGCTTACTTGCCTTAAGTAAAGATGACTTAAAACTATAAATGTTATATAAATACATGATCTCATTTACAGGTATTGTTGAACTTGAGGTTTTCTGCTTTGACCCAAGTTCTAGCAATTTTAACAGCTTTTAATGAGATATTGCTATTTCCTTATATACTGATCACTATTATTAATACTGATGCTTTATTATTGGAAAACCTTGGAAAATTCAGTATTCAAAATAAATTAATCTTTATTAATTGCATGTTTTTTCCACCATGCAAACTATAATTAAAATGTCATTGTAAAATGTGTTGCATTTTTATTTTCTAAGTGAGGTAGAAATATTTTCACTGGAGGAATAAAGGCAAGATTTATCTAGGTACAAGTTAGCTAGCACATCATTTTCAAAACATAAAACTTAAAAAAAAGTCAAATTCAAGAAATCACTAAATAAAGTTATATTCAACTGTAGAGGTTAATACCTCAAATTACAAACAGAACAAGTAAAATCAGTATTTTCATCATTAAAAACTGATGATGGCATCATCCTATATAATAAAAGAAAAACAAGTAAATTGACAATATCTCCGCTAAGCTCACCAGCCAGTCAGGAGTGAGTGTGCAAATTAACCTGACAAAGATGGTGGGTTAATTGGGGAGCTCGGCTCCCCAAGCCTCCAGAGGGAGAGCTGGTGGCTTGGAGGACTTGGCAGAGCGGGAGGCCGTGGGACGGAAACAGAGCAGGAAGGGAAAAACCAAGAGTGTGGGGAGCACCAGGAATTCTGGTGGCAGCCCCAGGACCAAGGAATAGTAGTTCTGGTGGCAGCCCCAGGACCAGAAGCAAAAGCCCAAAGTGCAGTCAGTAACAGGAATGCTGGGAATTGCAGTTCTGGTGGCAGACAGATCTCCTAGACACTAGAGCAAAGTGAGCCTGGAGCAAGTTACTGTTGCGGTGGGGAGGGAGGGAAAGCAAAGGTGAGAGACATAAGTAAAATCAGAGTGTCTAGGGAAAATATCCTAAAACTTCTAGAAAATTTCCACCAATGAAGCAAAGAAAAGAAAAAAAAGAGCCTCTATTATTCTGTGAGCAACAAACTAAGCCTGGATGGTCTCAGACAATCCACTCATATGATTGCCAAGACAGACAAACTCCCGGATTGGAGAGGGCTCCCAGATTGGAGAGGGTGCAGGTCGGGCTGAAGTTCCCACCTCCCGTGCATGAATCTTTGTGCACTGGGCCCCTAGTAGTTAGATAAAGTGTTCTCAGTTTTAGAGATACACACCAAAATATGTAAGATAGGCAAAATGATATGTTGTCAGGGATTTTCTTTAAAACTAGAGGCCCCATACACCAAATTTGTGCAAGAGTAGGCCTTCCTTCCCCCGGCTTATGGCACCGGCTTCCCTCTGGCACCCAGAACCCAGGCTTCATTCTGGCCACCAGCAGGCATCCAGGACTCGGGATTCCTTTGCAGCCCCGTTCCTGAAGGACGTCTGGTCTAATTAGCATATTACACTTTCATTATTATAGATAATTCTGCAAGCTCAGCTCGTGCGATTCAGTGGTTGAGGGTCTCTCAATCCCCATTTGGGAGCCTACAGGCGGCAGCTAATCAATGATTCTCTGTCATTGATGTTTTTATCTCTCCCTCTCCCTTCCGCTCTGAGGTCAATAAAAATGTATTTTAAAAAAAAATTACTTCTGCAAAAAAAGAAAAAATAAGGTTCATTTGTATCTACTAACCTGGGAAAATGTCTGTAATACATTGTTGTGGGCAAAAAAGAAAGTTGCTGAAAACAGTCTAAACATTCATCAGTGGATGAGCGGATAAGTAAATTGGGGTATATACATTCAATGGAATATTATTTGGGCACTAAAAGTACATACTAAAATGTAGATGAACCTCAAAACATGCTTAAGTAAAAGAAGCTAGACACAAAGTCACATTATATGACTATTTGTATGCAATATCTAGAGCAGATAAATTCATAGAGACAAAAATGCAAATTGGTTATTGCCAGAGACTGGGGAAAAAAGAAAAGGGAGAAAGTGGTTAATGGGTAATAGGTTTTATTTTAGAGTGACAGAGATGTTTTATAAGTAGACGGAGGGAGGTGGTTGTACAACATGGTAAATGTACTAAATGCCATTGAATTAATTCACTTTAAAATGGTTAATTCTGTATTATGGGAATTTCACTTCAATAAATTACTCAATAAAAAGTTAGTTGTATACTAAAATGTATACCATAAATCTTTTTCATTAGTAAAAGGTTTGTGGTTAAGTTAGATAGATAAATGTGAGGTTTGGAAATCTATAGTAATGAATCTCTACATATACCTAGGTAAAATTTTAGGAATGACATGTAAAAGTAATAAAGAGAAGAGAGGGTATGGGGAAGCCTGGATGGTTTGGGAAGAAAAGGCACTTCAATTATGACTTTCTCTAATCAAGTGGATATGTGATTTTGATTTTTATTTTATAGTTATTTGTCAAAATAAAAAGTTTTAAAATAGTGATACCATAGTTTTCAGAGTGTGAAGAGTTAACATGCTTATAGTAGATTCAGGGAGAAAAAATATTTTTCCATTAGCTGTGAAAAATAGAATGACTTGTAAAGAAAATTGAATGTAAAAATAATAATTAAACTGTGCTTTATGTAAACACATTCATCAATTCTACATTTTTAAAAATAATCCTTCATGTGACATACATGCTTAACTGATTGGTGTAGTGGACAGTAACGATTCAAAAAATATTAGATTTTTAAAAATATTATTCAACCTTATTGCCCCAGTCATGAAATTTAATTATATTTTAGCTTTCTAAAAATCATTGCTAAAAAGGCAATTTCATCAAATTGTATTAGAGACATTTGTGATAATCTAGACCAAGAATCTAGACAAAATTTTATTTTTAAGGTAATACATGATTTCGTTGTCTTTTATTTATAATGCTTTTCACCTCTTATGCCTTTGTCTTTCAGTTATATTCATTTTGGTGGTTAGTTTTCAATTTGTAATTTCAGCATATTTTCTTTATGAACTAGTCAGACTCCTTAACAATTACTCTGTGGTTAAAACTTGCAAATTTTGTTGTAGATTTTGCTTTTAAAACTTAGGTATTGTAAAATGTATGTGAAATAAGAGGTTCAATAAATTAATAGAAGCATTCTTTGATAGCTGGTTACATGAGGAGTTTTCACTTATGGAAAGGCTTTATGGAAATCTTTTCCAAATAGTGATAGGGAAGAGGTTTTGCTTATTGGTCCATTGACTTTAAAGGAATAAGATCAAATCTTTAGTATTTATCATTTGAAATAGAAAGGAATAGCAATAATTCAAGATGCTGTACAATGCCTGTTTTAATTTCTGAAAAAAAATATGATATTACTATCTTCCTCCGCGCCCCTCCCCCTTAGTTTTTTTTTTTTTATCTAGAGAAGGGGAAAAGGTAATAATGATGCCACCTGTTTTTTATTAAGAGTTTGAGACCTAGTATTGTTTTTACTAGCCTTTATCAAAAAAATCTAAGCCTTTATTTTCCCATCAGACAAAGTCATAAAATACTTTGTGAGAGAGGATATAGAAAAGTATTCTGTAACTGTGCTATGTAAATAGTAGTTATTTATTATTTGTTCTTTCATTAAACATAAGTGCTTAATGTACAGGGCAGGTTATTAGACACAGGGAATATAATAGTGAAAAAGATATTGTCCTTGAACTTATAAAATTTGTGGTCTAGCAGAGGAGACAAACATGAAAGACGGGTCATTCCCTTTCATTTTGCAAAATATTTTTAAAATAGGCCGAAACCGGTTTGGCTCAGTGGATAGAGCTTCAGCCTGAGGACTGAAGGGTCCCGGTTCGATTCTGGTCAAGGGCATGTACCTTGGTTGCCGCCACATCCCCAATAGGGGGTGTGCAAGAGGCAGCTGGTCGATGACTCTCTCTCATCTATGTTTCTAGCTCTCTCTCTTCCTCTCTCTAAAAAATCAATAAAATATATATTTTTTAAAATTAAAAAAATATATTTTTAAAATAGAATTCCATCATCTATATTTCTGTTGTAGACAAAAAACTATTTTATTCTCAAGTGTAGGTTTTGCATCCATGATAACCTTTGGAACTGTGTAGTGAGAATCTTGATATTTGATCATTGATTTTTCTGAAAACTAAACATGGGAAAAATTTGATCTTCAGCAATGAGAAGTTCCTCAAAGAAGAAATTACCTAACATTATTTCTTTAATTTTGAGAGTAGTGGCTGAACTAGTAAGGTAAAGATCATAAATGTATGGAATACCTGTGGTCATTAAGATGTGGCCAGGTATCAGTGAGAAATTTTGATTGATTAGTCTGACCTGATTTTATCAGTCTGATCTGTTGCAGATAAACTGTAAAAAAAAAAAAAAAAAAAAAAAAAAAACACACTTGTTAATTAGTATGTAAATTTCAAGTAGCTAAAAATAGAATGGATTGATGGTAAGAAAATGCCTAAGTAATTTACATTTTATTTTAAACCAGAATAATTTTTACAGCATCTGCTTTATCTTACCAAACAGGTTTTACTTTGATTAGAAAAAAAATCAATAAATGCTCACATTTTAATGAGACTTTGACATTTTCAAAATGTTTTCATACCCTTTATTTCACTTCGCCTCTTTTTGGTATTTTTTACCTCCTGGACATAGAATTTCCATGGTCCTCTCTAAAGATAGCTATGTACTCTCAGTCTATGCCAGCCTGTGCTGTGCTCTGGGGATACAAAGAGAAAGATATCTGCCATTGAGAAAATCCCAGTCTGGCAGAGGTGGCAAACAAATAAACCAAAAATTAGAATCCAGTGTCATAAGTACTGTGTTAATGCACACACACATATAAGTATATAGGGTTGTGGGAACAAAGAAATGGGCATCTCTTTCTTTTTCTATGCAAACTTATGCTCTACTGAGTTGACTTAAAGATGAGTAAAATAATTGGCAAGGCAAAAAGGAGAGGAAAGATTTTCTAGTTAGAGATAGCAGTATGTGTTTAGTTAGCTATTCAAATTTTTATTTTTATAGTATAAATGATTAAATATTAATTATATCATAGGTTCACACTAGAGTGAAGGGTAGCTACAGGTACCAGATTATAAAAGACTGTGTATGCTTTACATACCTATCCAGCCCTATGTTATATTACAGAAATTAATAACACACTTGTAGACACAAGTCTCAAATTCAAGATGACACAGCAGACAGAGGAACTTTCTTGGAAGGTATAAGTTCGGTTATTTATAAAATGGTTTCTCATCAACAGTGTCATTAATAAAGAGCTATAATTAGCAATATTGACACTGATAAAATATTTCATAGAAATGAGTTTTCTAAATAACACTTTATTTTTAAGGCAAAACTTTTGCTTTCCCTTTTGTACTTTGATCACTCTAAACCCATTCTTGTCTCAAATAGAAGACTATTCTAAGCAATTTAATAACCCTTTTATTAATGGTTCAGTTTTATTATGAGCATCAGTATTTGTTTCATGTTTTAATACAGTATTAGAGTTCATTATTATTGGGATGTGAGGAACTATTTGATTCAACAGACATGCCCTTAGATTGCCTAATTTTTATTCTTTTGATTTTTTTGTTTGTCATTAATCACATCAAGAGACCTAATGAGTCTAATCTGCTAAATTATTTTACATTAAGCTTTCTGCATAGGAGACTCGGGTAGAAAATGAAGTGCCTGAGCTTTGTGTACAATCTTTTGCTATATTTCTTCATTTAATTTTGAGTTCATGAATGAAATCTTCATAATTAAGGTTAATATAAGTTCAAATAAATATATTTGTAAATTAAGATTTTTGTGTTATTAATTTATTAAATTTATATTATTTCTAACTCTAGTATTGATAATTATCACTGATCTATATGTCTTTAATATTTGTGGGTGACCCCCAAAAAATTAACTGGGCTCTCAATTTGGAACTTTTTCAGAGCATTTTCCAGATTAATGTTCCCAAAACAAGAGCTGACTTGCTTGTTCCGTAATAAGGAATAGTACAAATCACCATTGATTTATCAAATTTAAATTTAGATGTGTACGAATTATCTAGGTCAAAGGCAACTCTGCCTTTTAGATATTACATCTACTTTCATTGGTTTTGTGTCCAACACAGTGTCTTGCATTGCATTCTAGATATCTGTGATTCCTTGGTTATTGTGGTTTCCCATTAGTAGCTTTTCCAAGTTTCTTAGAAACTTGAGTCTCCAGGATATATATTTCATTTTCAATTGAACAGAGGAGTAAAAATTTATCCTGACTCCCTTGATGTTTCTAATTTTTCAAATAAAAGAACATGTAACATACACATAGTAAAAAATATCCTCAACAGGTAATCTCTGATATGTAATAAGCAGCTTCAAGGCAAATGGTAATATAAAAACTTTGAAATATGCTATCTGGTTGTGTTATCTTAAATCTTTATAAAGGTTGCAGTTTTTGTTTAAATGCTAAAATATAAAACTGATATGTACTGATTAAACATATTTAAGCAGCATATTTTGTTTATTCCTTGATATTCTGATAAAGATGTTCAATTTTTGTTATCTTAACCTTCACTTGTTTTAAACAGTAAGAAATGTTTAATCTGATGCTGGTAAGGTACATAACTTGTTTCTTCTGCAGAATGAAGTCACCCTGCTGAGAAATGAAGTGGCACAGCTGAAACAGCTTCTTCTGGCTCATAAAGATTGCCCTGTAACCGCCATGCAGAAGAAATCTGGCTATCACAGTGAGTAATGTTCCATTACCTACAGCCTCAGGCTACATCGTGAAATACTGCCACAGTGAACCAAGTTTCCATCAAAAAACGGAGCCTGAAATTCCTATACTTAATATTAAATATCTCCAAGGTTATTATGGAATGGGGTATACTTCTTAGAATCTAGATTTTTTAAAATTTTCTATTTCTAGCTTTTATTTTAGTAATTGCTATGGATCAGCAAAATGGGTTAGTTTATAAGTACTGATGATTATTTTGTTTATCATCCCAGTATAACATTTTGTCTTAGATCAACATGGTGAAGCATTTCTTGTCCAGCTTTTGTTCAGTAATGATGTGTATTTTTTTTTAAATCAACTGTCTTTACTAAAAATATGGTGTCCCAAAAAAATTTATACACACACCTTGAATAATTATAAAGTCAGTGTTTATTAAAATGTATTTCATTTTCAAAATTGAGCTGTCACCTGGTAAAACATGCATACATTTTTGGGGGGACACCCTGTATGTAGTATTCATTTACAGTATCAGATCCTATTGTTCTTCCTTGGATATCAGCATTGTGTGGGGTTTTTAATTATTATGAACCTTTGTATTGAATCTTCTAGTTAGTCATAAAAATGCTAAAATAGAACATTATCTGCTTACCACTTTCCTCTTAAATGTTTTCCCTAAAAGTGAGGTTCTTCTGTTTTCAGCATTTTTAGAGGTTAATTGTGTGTTTTCTTCTGTAATGTCCTTCTTTTTGGTAATATAAACAGTGTTGGAACCAGCTGTAACTCTTGAATAAATGGCCTGTCCATTGTACACAAATTTGTAACAAATACCAGAGTTGGGAATGCATTAGGCAACATTCATAATATATAACCCACAGCTTTCGTTTTTATGATTTAGAGGTATTTCCGGACATTTGTAATGTGAAGATTGTTTCAACCATATGTATCCACTTTATTTTAATTTGCCAGTGTCAGTAATTCAAAAGAAAGAAACATTTTATATTAGATGCAATCGTTCTTCAGGTGCTCAAGATAAAACTTAATAGTCACCATCTTGTAGTCGTTGTAAGCAGTTTCATCAGAATGGGCACTATTTTTTAATTTAAAAGATTCAAAAGATTTAGCAACTCTATTGCCATATATATTTAGAACATTGATTTTTGAGCAAATAAATCTCAGACCATTGATAGGTAATGATTTTTTAAAAATCTTTATTGTTGAGATTATTACACATCCCCTTTTTCCCTCCTATTGCCCCCCTCCACTTGGTTTCCTCCCTGCCCCAAGCCTTCACCACCCTATTATAAGTAATGCATATAAGTTCTTTGATTAATCTCTCCTCATCACCACCCCCTTCCCTCTGAGATTTGTCAAATCTGTTCCATTTTCCATGTCTTTTATTCTATTTTATTCATCAGTTTATTTTGTTCATTAGATTCCTTGTTTATTTTGATTTTTAGGTTCAGTTATTGATATGTATTTATTGCCATTTTATTGTTCATATTTTATATCTTTTTTTCTTCCTCCTCTTCTTCTTATTAAACTGCTTTACTCTTGCTGCTTTTAAGATTCTTTGTCTTTAACCTTTGGTATTTTAATTATGATGTGTCTTTGTGTGGGCCTCTTTGGTTTCCTCTTGTTCGGAGTCTCTGCTTTCTGGACTTAACATAATTTCTTTCACCAGGGAGGAGAAGTTTGCTGTCATTATTTCTTCAAATAGGTTTTCAACAGCTTGCTCTCTCTTCTCCTTTGGCACCCCCATAATGCAAATGTTGGTACACTTGAGGTTGTCCCAGAGTCTCCTTATGCTCCTTCATATTTTTGAATTTTTTCTCTTTGCTCTTCTGATTGGGTGTTTTTTGCTTCCTCATATTCCAAATCATTGCTTGATTCTCAGAATCTTCTACTCTACACTTGAATTCCTGTAAATTATTCTTTATTTCAGTTAGTGTATGCTTGATATCTAGTCATTTTGACAGGAAGGTAAAACACATTGTGGAGTAAATTGGGCCAATATAGAAATATGTTTGGAGTTGGTGTTTACAATGATTGCTGCAGGGTTGAGGCCATTATGGCTTCCATCTGACTTAACATAATTTCATATGGAAGCTGCTGAGTTCAGCATTATAAATACATGCTTTTCTTAAGAGAGTTACCTTGAATTTTGATAGTATAGTTCAAAAGTGAATGTATAATTGATTCTATAAAATTAGAAAGAAAATTAACTCATACTGCATTCAATTAAAAATTATCTACATTTTTTAAATCCTTAGTAATTTATTAGGTAATTCCAACAGCTTTCTCTCTGTTCTCTAGGCATAATATGTTCCGCAAATATAAGCCAATTTTTCATTTTAGTCAATAATTTATAAAGGTTTTTTTAAAATGTTTAGGTGCATGGGTTTATGTCTTATACCCTTAAATAAACTGACTGGAATTCTAGATGAGTAAGTTTCTAGTGACTATCTATTATACTACATTGTAAAAATGAGAGACATTTTTCGTTTTGGGAACTATACCTACCTTTTTTCCTGTCTAGTCATCTAGATAGTCAATTAATAAGTATAGTTCTAGCATAAAATTTGTCCTCTTCAGCTCTGTGGAGATAATTGGATTTTGTAGAAATTTTAAAATAATGTCTATTTTCAGATTTGAAGTCTTTTCAAAAATACAACTTCCCTGTTGTTTAATAGTTAAGGTAAATAAAGAGATTGACTAAGTGAATATTTAAATTTTATAGAAAATAAGGGGAAATTCATAAATACCTAACACTTTTGATGTTGCACACAGCAATTACTAATGGTAGTGAGCTATAGTGCTAATTCTTTCAAGACATTTCAGAGAGAAAACTAAGATTTTGTAGAAATTAAGGAATATTGCAAAATCTTGTGGGTAAAGGTGACAGTTAAAGTCATACTGTCACAGGGTCGTACCCTCAGTCATGGGAAAACTGTGACAGTTGGCACCTTAACAGTCAAATAGTATAAAATGTGAATGAAAATGTAATATTTTCTCAATATTTGGATTCTATCAAAAATAAAGCACGAGAGTGATCTTATTGCCATTAAGTCATATTTCTCTAGATCACTGAACATAATTAAAATTATATAATAGTTGTTTCTATAATCATGAGTGGGAAGGAAAGCTTCTTGAATCCCAAATGTCCTTGAGAACTTATACAGGTGGGGCAAAAGTAGGTTTACTGTTGTGAGTACACGAAACAGTTTATTCTTGTATTATTTATTTATTATTATCTTCTTCCATACAAACCATTGTGAACTTACTTTTGCCATACCCTATATTTTTCAGTACTGAAAATATATATGAACAGAGGTAGAGAACTTTAGAGAGTGAATTATTAAACATCTAGTTTCTTTAAACTTATATAGGCCTGAAATGGCTCTTGAGTGCCGTAAGATCTCTTGTATCTGTCTAGTTCTTGTGATTATACTAGTAATTTTTCTCCCCTCACCTTCTGGAAGTGGATATGGGTGCAGATATTTCATATTATAAATGTATTTATAAAATTTATAATTACAGAACTGATAAGTGAGTACCTGTTTTTTGTATAGGCTAAAGATTTGCTTTACCTAATTCTGAAAGACTGGAGACAATCACTTATCCCTTAGAATTTACTGTTTAATTTTGAGTCATTGCCTTCACTATATATTTACATTTCCTTATTACACCCATCACAGATCAGCCTCTATTTCTGAAAGCATCCCTAGAGCCGAAACCGGTTTGGCTCAGCGGTAGAGCGTCGGTCTGTGGACTGAAGGGTCCCGTGTTTGATTCCGGTCAGGGGCATGTGCCTTGGTTGCGGGCACATCCCCGGTGGGGGGTGTGCAAGAGGCAGCTGGTCAATGTTTCTCTCTCATTGACGGTTCTAGCTCTCTATCTCTCTCCCTTCCTCTCTGTAAAATATCAATAAAATATATTTTAAAAAAAAAGAAAAGAAAAGAAAGCATCCCTAGAACCTAACCTCACTTTGCTGTCCTGTTGGAGATCAGTGGTGACATAAACAAAAGAGAGCTTTTTAGTATCTAGTTTTTTCTTTGAACAAATAACTATTTGTGTTGGCTAATGAAATTGTGTTTTATAACATTTAATATAATTTTAAAAGAATTACTGTGACTTTTTTATTATAACTTGAGGTCAAATTTTATCCAAGGATGTGGTTTTGAATTCATAGCAGATTATAGAGAAGATGGGAATTCTTTCTCACTTAAATTTATTAAAAATCAATGAACTAGGGGCAAGTATGTCAAAATTCCTAAAAATTACTATATTTGAGAAAACCCTCAGAATAAGGAATTTTATTTGAATAAAAGTTGTGCTTTGCAAGGTTCCTCTCCTTCCATCTTCTATATTATAAATCATAGGATAAGTTCTGTTTCATAGGGTGCAGACCTTTTAATAATTGACTTTCAGAATGGGGACTTAGCCATTAAGAAGAAGGCTGGTATGCATTCTCAAATTTGATAGAAAACCTGCTTATTATCTCTTCTAAACACTAAATAAAAGTTATTTTAATGCCAAGTGAATAAAATAAGGTGCAAAAGAATATATCCAATATGATACTTCTTTAGAATGTTCATTAGTAAACAAGCTAAACAATATTGTTAGGGGTACATACCTACTTGGCAAAATTTAAAAGAAAAAATACGGGAGTGATTAAAGAAATAGCAGATGGTAATTATCTTGGTAAGGAGAGGAGCTCCTAGGAAGCATCCTAGTTACTAAGGCAATATTCTCTTTTAGAGTTGGGGGCTGGGTTCATCGGTGTTTGTGTTGTCATTGTGTCTCATAATTTACAAACACTATAACTGTTTGTGTGTTGTGCCTATCAAATTTTTCAGTAAATGAAATTATTGGATTCTTTTCTGTAATAAAAACTATATGGGAGATTTGTTATTCAAAAGCCTACAAGTTGGTAGATTTATTTTTATAAATATTTAGAATGCCCTTTCTTGAATAGCTTTTCAATTGTAGACTTTTATGTACATTTTTATTTGAATCTCACTTAATTCATGCGACTATAACAGCTGGTGGAATTTAAATTCTAAATATTGCTTATTCTCATGTGTCTGCATCATTAGAATCAGGTATTGTAATCACCCAGTGTTGCAGTAGATGGAAAGTCAGCTAGAATAAATATAGTTGTGGAGACTGCAAGGGAATAATTTGAAGATATAATTTGTATATAAATTGTTTATGCATGTGGCAATATTTTTTTTTATCTTTTAATAAGAATGGGACATAGACAAACATTGGTTTTGTTAAATGTGTTATTTGATATGGATTTGATTATGGCGATAAGGGTCTTTGTCCCAAAATTCTACCCAGTTTAACTCTATTCAACAGATATTTCTTCAACTCTGTTCTCTGAGGTATTGGGTACCCAGATGTTTCCATGTGTGTGGTTGTGCCTTTGTTTGGCCTGTTGAGGATAAAATGCCCACTTCATGTCTTACATCCACCTTTCAGTTATTCAATTCCCATCATACTGACTTTTCTAAATAACTGATTATATAAAATATCTTGTTGCTTTTTACTCTGTGTATGGACTCAGCCTACTGATACATTCTTACATTATTTTAAGAAACTGAGCAATTTTTCTTTTTTCCACTCAGCTGCTGATAAAGATGATAGTTCAGAAGACCTGTCAGTGCCAAGTAGTCCACATACGGAAGCGATACAGCATAGTTCTGTCAGCACATCCAATGGAGTCAGTTCAACCTCCAAGGCAGAAGCTGTAGCCACTTCAGTCCTCACCCAGATGGCGGACCAGAGTACAGAGCCTGCACTTTCACAGATCGTAATGGCTCCTTCCTCCCAGGCCCAGCCCTCAGGAAGTTGATTAGAAACCTGCAGTGCAGCAGTTTTAGATACTCATTAGTGACTTCAAAGGGAAATCAAGGAAAGACCAGTTTCCATTTATGCGAAATCTGTGGTTGTAAATTTTTTTTTTTTACTTGAAATTAAATTTGGCTCTAAAGTTGGGGTAGCAGCAGTTGATCAGACTGAACAACAGTTTTTATTCTCTGGAAAAAGGCTGATTTTGCTTTTTTATAAATATTGTTAGATTTATTAATTTTTCTGTGCTAAATGTATAAATTGTATTATAATTCATTGTGGTTTTATTTCATTTTTTATTTGGTGGTGTTTAATAAATGGGGGTGTTCCTGAATCTCTCTTCCCACTTCCATTTTTTTTTTTTTTTTTTTTTTACCACCTTTTATCCCTCAACTGTGATGGTAATATTATATCATTTATACCAAAGTTCTGCTTAAATCCTTATTGACTTTGTACATTAACAAAGTCATAAAGTACTTGCGAGAGAAAGTTGCTTTTTAACCTTTTTGCCTTTTATTTTGCACATTATGCAAAAGGAAGAACATTAGAGAACACTTTTTGAGTGAAAACATGATAGAAGACATACAGTGCTTTTATGCACACTTATAATCTTAAACTAAATCAAGATCATGAATAGTGCATTTTTCTTTTTTAAAGATTTTAAGTAGACTTGAATTTTGAAATCCTTTATCATTTCAAAAAATGCTATTTTTCAAGTTTTGACTTTAGTATTTTAAACCTTATGTTTTGAAGCGAATAAAATATGAAATTATATAATGTACAATACAGGGTTATTAGATATCTAATAATTTTTTGAAATTAGGTTTTTGGGTTTTTTTGCAGATTTTAGGTTACAAACTGAGAAGTTTATGCATAATCAAGTAAGGCATGGTTGCCAGAAAAGCCTAAAATTACTACTTAGAAAATTTAAGACTGTTTACCCCCATTGTCTTGTACTTGCAAGCTAACTTGTACTTATTCTTGTGAAAGCACTGTCATCTTTTAGTAGCAAATTTTGATAACGTTTCTTGTGGGGAAAAAAAATCAATATCTATCTTTAGAACAATGTAATTATAAAGTGGGAAGCAAGAGTGAGTGAGTATGTGTGTGAGTGTGAGTGTGTATGTATGTATGTATGTATGTATGTATGTATGTGTCTTTCAATAGTTTATGCCAGCAATCTCTGCTTGAATGTTTAACGATGCCTTCAGTGTGATGCTGGCCAATAGGTGATTGCAATTTAAAAGGTCATTACTGTGCAGGCTTGGATAACTAACATTCCATGATGTATCGATAGTTTGTTTCTGATGAGAGGATTGTAGGTATACTTTCCTCTTTATCCAGTCATCTGTGGGATACTGAGTTTTCTAATGTGCCATTATCTATTTTTATTCTCCAGTTACGTTCAAAATATAGTACAATATTTTAAAATAGACTAAATTGTTAAAAATTTAAAAGTAGTAGATGTGTGTAAGAGAACTTTGTAAAATAGTTAAGAGTCCTACCCAGTAGCAACTTCTGGCATTCAAGCAGGATTCCATTATGTAAATATCTGTAATGCATTTATAATAAGTTGTGTAGTTTGTTCTGCATCCATACTACACTCTTTGCTAAAGTCTCAGTGCCATCTCCTAATGAGACTGACATTTAAAATCTACATGGAATATCCTTGACAACTCAAGGAAATAACCCACCTGCCTAAGTTCCAGACTGGGAAGCATTCAAATTATACAAATGACATTTTAGGACTTTAAGTTATGAAGATAATAGGAATTTTATTGTTTGGGTTGTTAAAACAGATCATTTTAGTTGATAATTCTACTTCTACATTTTTTTAAATTTTTAACTGATTTTATAATTTTAAAGTAATCAATTTCTAATCATGATTTTTCCATAATTATGCTAAGGAGTTGATCTCAAAGGCACAAAATATGAATTTTGCAAGAAGGCTATTTTTTATTGTAGTTTGGATGGGTTAGAAAAAGCCTCAATTTTTCTCTCTTCAAAGTCCTTCAAGTGCATTTTCCTTTCATTTTATTATTTATGCAAGTTAAAGTTCTTTGATAACAGGAATTCTTGCAACTGTAAAATAAAGCTACATAGATGTAAGAAGTCATGTAAACGGTTAATGAGCTTACCAACGTTAGCAAAACTTTCATTGTAAAACAGTCTGTACTCAGCAAATAAAAATCATTATTAGTTGTATAAACACAAATTTCATTTGGACTTTCAGGATGTCACACTACTTCTGTACCTAGCATTTTGAGTCCTTATATTTGCAATGTTACACAAACTGTACTATTTTCTTTTATGTGCAGTTTGCATGAGTAAACCATCAGAGAATAAATTCTATCTTTAAATTATGTTCATAATTGGCTTGTTCTTACCTATCTTTCATAAAGTATCATCATCTGATATTATTTTTCTTCAGGGCATTTATCACCTGAGAAGAACCTGATAGTCTATTTCTGTGATAAAATTGATTCATTCTCAAAGACCTTTTCACCGCAGGGTGCTCAGGCCTTATTCCTGTTCCTCTGCATTCAGTTTTAGCCCTGTTCATGTACAACAAACCTTTAATTTAGGTCCCTGCAACCTCATCCACACACAGATCCACCAGCCTTTGGTGTCTCGGTGCGTCCCTGACAAAACACCTAAAGGTAATATGTCCAACACTGAACTCTTGATCTCCCCCCTCCCTGCCCTCAGATAGAATCCTTTCACCATCTTTCATAAGTTAACTGATGGCAACTCCATTCTCCCAGTTGCTTAAGCCAGAGCAACCTTGTCATTCTCATTCCTCTTTACCCAGTCCACATCGAACTCATTGGGAAACAGTCTGTTTTACCTTCAGCATAAACCAGAATTCAGCCCCATCTCACCATTTACACTGCTGTCACCTTGAACTGTGCCATCGCTTCTCACCCAGACCTTTTGGTGTACACAACAGAATGGTGCCCCAACCCACTGAGCCCCCCGGCCAGGGCTCCTGTCACATCATTTTATTCAGTGGATGAGTGCTTCTAGGTGCCAGTCATTGTGCTAGGCTCTGGAATACACCAGTTACCAGGACCCAAATACCCTGCCTTGGTGAAGCTTACATTCTGCATGGCAGGGGAGGGTGTATGTTGGGAAACACAACACAGTATGTATTATATTAGAAGTGGTTAGTGCTGGGTGAAGAAAAAGACTAGTTTTGCTAGAACATACAGAGTGATATTTCAGTCTTAGATTGAATAAATCTGAAGATACAAAGAATCATGGCTATTTTTTATTTTAAGGTACACATTCTGACACGTGCTTCACTTGGATTATGTGATCCGAGAGAGATTTCATGAAGACAAGCTGGCGCATTTCTGTAACAGTTTGACAACTGATATGTTAAAAGCACAAAGGCATGTTTATTTTAGATGACGGGAAAGATCCTGTCTTAGCTCTGATTTGTCCTTTACTATTAAATGCAGTTAAGATAATTCTACATCTGAGACTATAGAATTTGATGTTATTTGTCAGACTATTTTATTATACAAGAAACATATTTACTCCTAGGCCTTCATCTTAAATAGACATACACACACACACACTCACACACACCCTTTGAATTATCAAATAAATTAGTTCTAAATTTAGAACAAAATTTAAGCTGACTTTTTGAAATTGTCTTGACCACAGGACAATAGTTTTGAAGCAATTGGAGTTACATCATTTTATTTTATTTTTATTTTTAAATATATTTTACTGATTTTTTTTTACAGAGAGGAAGGGAGAGAGAGAGAGAGCTAGAAATGTCAATGAGAGAGAAACATCGACCAGCTGCCTCCTGCACACCCCCTACTAGGGATGTACCCGCAACCAACATACATGCCCCTGACCAGAATAGAACCTGGGACTCCTCAGTCCGCAGACCGACGCTCTACCACTGAGCCAAACTGGTTTCGGCTCATTTCATTTTTTATATAGTTGTGAAAAATCATTTTTTAAACTTTTCATAAATAAATAAATTTTCTGTAATTTTTTTCACAGTGTTTTAAAAACAAGTGCAGGTCTATCCAGACTACCTTTAAATATAGAGACTTGGGTGTCACTGAAGCAAAAATTAAGATCCTAGAGAGCTAGCATCCAATGAGGAACTGGGAAGAACAACTCACAAAATGTAAAAGATCTTTCTGATATAAATGGTAAGTTGCCAATTACATATTGCCATAGAAGAAGTGTGATCAGTGAAAGTGTTTCCAAAATGATTTAATAGTTCTGAAATAACAAAGGTAGTACGGCATTGGAACCTACATAAAAGGGGAAATATAAGTAGTTTTATTCTATTGCAGCAACCCAAAGCACCAAGTCAAATGTTAATTGTAAAATAAATGATCACATATGTTGCAACACTCAAATTAGAAGGGTTTTGTTATTCAATAGTGAACCAATGAGTTCCCCAAAGATACATGCAAATTTTCTAATGGCTTTCTGAGCCAAGGATGCCATTAGTACACGCTTATCTTGGTCACACGCTTATCTTCCCTTGCCTCTTTATTTTGCATTGGATTTTATATGTAAGACATTTCTTGAGCTAGAATTTTTTAACAGAACAGTTACATGGTTTTAGCATGCATTACCTCAGTTATTTGGGAAATATTTCTGATTCTAAATCTTATTTTTAACTATGTCATGTCAAATAAGGGTTAGTTTACTCTTTTTTTATTAAAATATATCTTTATTGATTTCAGAGAGAAAGGGAAAGGGAGAAACATCAACAATGAGAAAGAATCATTGATAAGCTGCCTTCCTACACGCCCCCCCTCCCCCCCCCCCCCCGGGAGGAGATTGAACCCACAACCTGGGCATGTGCCCTTGACTAGAATAGAACTTGGGACCCTTCAGTCCACAGGCCAATGCTCTATCCACTGATCCAAAGCGGCCAAGGCTCTATTAAATTTTATAGTAGGTTTTGCTTTTTGTGAAAAACAATGTTCCCCCAAAACACCTTTTAAAATTTTTGCTTTAATA